GGGCCGCTTCCGGGAGCTCCGCCCCGCCGCTCCGCTCCTCTGGCCACGCCCCCCACGCTCGCCACGGGCCAATCAAAGGCCCGGACTACCCCCCGGAGGGGTGGAACCTCTGCAAGGACTGCCCACATCGTCTTGGACGACCCGGATCGATAGAGAGGGCGAGGCGATTCCGGCTCAGCCTGGGGCCGATTCAAACTAAGGGAGGCGGGGATTGGCTGAGCCCGGCCGAAGGGAGGAAATCTCGCCGCTGAAGGCATAAGTCATGTGATTGGCAGGCGGGAGGCCCCGTGTCCAGTTTTCATTGAGTAGTTCTGTTTAGATTCAGAATCATGAGGATGGGAGGAGGGACCGTGTACGAAGAGATCGTAGTCTTCGGTGGGAAATAGGATTTGTGTGAGGAGTAATTCTCAGCTGCTGCTCAAACCAGTTTGCGCCCGTGGGTGGAACTAAAAATTGGCCAACGTCTCAAGCCGAAAGCACTAGGGATCCTCAGGAGGCTGGGTTTTGATAATCTAATTCCCTAAACCACCAATAAAAATAACTGAATTTAGGAGCGTAATATTCGTAATACCGCTGACTGAACGACGACAATTTTCCAATGGAAGTTAAAAAAAGACTCAGGGGGCGGAGCACTCTGTAGCGACAGACACACCTTTAGACCAATGACCAGGCCAATAACAGTAAGTGGGCGTGCTCTGTAGGCGAGCGACAGGTCAAAAGAACCAGTGAGCGACCTGATGTTGAGCCGCGACCAACCGGGAGGGCGGGTTCCCCTGGAGAAGCGCTGGGAGGCGGGAAGAGGGGACGTGGGCGGATCTCCGCACAGCCGGGCGGAAGAGGCAGATTCAGGAAGCCATTACGCCGCTGGCTGGCAGCGGCTGGGCCGGTAGGCCCTGGGCCCTACGCACTTTGCGTAACGAGGGGGGTTATCAAAGGCTCGGTGCTTGGCCTTGGGCAAACACTGCCTATCCTATGTAGGGGTGGGTGGGTGAGGAGTGAGGCTGAGGAAGAAGAGAAGGGAAATTGGACGGTTGAAGGGATTATAATTTCTCTAAAAAGAGGGGCAGGGAGAAGCCATGGCCGTCCCAGCCAAGAAGAGGAAGATGAACTTCTCTGAGCGAGAGGTGGAGATCATCGTGGAGGAGCTGGAACTGAAGAAGCACCTGCTGGTGAACCACTTCAACGCTGGGGTCTCTCTGGCTGCCAAGAGCGCGGCCTGGCACGGCATCCTGAGAAGGGTTAATGCTGTGGCCACCTGCCGCAGGGAGCTGCCTGAGGTCAAGAAGAAGTGGTCTGATCTCAAGACTGAGGTCCGTCGCAAGGTTGCCCAGGTCCGGGCGGCTGTAGAGGGTGGTGAGGCCCCAGGGCCCACTGAAGAAGATGGAGCCGGTGGGCCAGGGACAGGTGGTAGCAGCAGTGGCGGTGGCCCAGCTGTAGGCCCGGTACTGCTCACCCCCATGCAACAGCGCATCTGCAATCTGCTGGGTGAGGCCACCATCATCAGCCTGCCCAGTACCACAGAGATCCACCCTGTGGCCCTCGGACCCACGGCTAATGCAGCCGCAGCCACGGTCACCCTGACACAGAGTGAGTGACCTCTCCTGCCCAGTCCAGCGTGCATAAATGGGAAGGGCCAGCAAGAGATGAGGCAGCCTGGGGAAGGTTGACTGTAAAGGGCTGAAGGTTAGATAGGAGTCTTGGCAGACCATGAGACCTTCCATGAGCTCCCCAGACAGAAGTGGTTTTGTTCTCTTTGGGACTTCCTCAGCGCACAGTCTGGACGTCTACTCGACTGTGTTTTTCCACCATTCATGTCCATGACTGTACTGTGTGGTCTTTGAAGACAATGACCATGTTTATATCCCCACAGGACTTATCACAGGGCCTGGCACATACTAAGCAGTCAGAATATATTTGTTGAATGAGCAGGCAGGTGGGAATGATAATCCCCAAGTCAAACACAGATTCTAGACAGAGACATTCTGGATTCTCAGTGAGGCAAACATTCATCAGGCACAGTTGAGGAACCTCGTGGTTCCTGGTGTTAATCTACTCATTCATTCACTCAGCAAACATTAGCACTTATTCTGTGCCAAACCCTGTGCTTGGCTCTGGGATTACCAAGGTGTCTAAGACAGAGGCCAGCTAGAGTCTAGTAGGACAGGTAAGACACTATAAGTAACTGCAATGTCAGTTGGGAGAACATAAGAACTCAGAGGAAAAACGGGGCTTCTTGGTTGAGGTGGGGACACACAGCTGATGTTGGCAGCGAAGGGTGGAGAAGATTGACTTTTCCTCTATGCATGGAGGCCGAAAGAGCCTGCCTAGAATCCCTTCAAAGGTTCTCAACTGAATAACAATGGAACTGGCTTGGGTTGAACTTTTTAGTTCAGATAAGGGTTTGCATTGGTATCTGTTAACTGCTTCTTTGTGCTGGGTTACAAACTGTACTGATCAGATCAGTGATTCTCAGTGGGGCTTTGGGAAATTTGGTATATGTGCCATCCCCCACACTGGCATATTTCTCAAGGATATTGAGATGGGAAAGGGGATCCTACACTGGCCTAAATCAATTGCTGTTCTGGAACAGAAAGGACCTTTAGGTATTCCATTGACTAGGATGATCAAGAAGACAGGGAGGCATTTATTGGGCACTTTTGCCACCCCACTCCCACCTCCTTTTCTGCTTGGCCATGAGACTAGAAGTCAAGAAGGCACTGAAGGAGGTAGGACTAGTGTAGCTACAAACAGCCTATGTAGAGGTTCCCATTCAAGATGCCTGCTGTGTACTGGCACCACGGGGAGCATGTGGCCCTGCCTTTAATAGCAGAAGCAGCCCAGTGGGGTGGTATTGAGAGCACTATGGACTCTGGTGTTGGGAAGACCTGGGTTTGTTTCCTGCACCTGCTGAATAAGCTGTGTGGCCTTAGGAAAGTCACTCCATGTTTCCGAGTCTGTTTCCTCATGACAGGACCTACCTCTTGGTGTCATGAGGATTCACTGAGCTAATGGGTGCACAGGGCTTCGCACAGTGCCACGCACATAGTAGGTACTCTAAATTTTTTGCTAATATCATTATTAGCATCTTTGCTTTTGCCAGATCCGGGACTGACCCTTTAGTTACCAAATAGATTAACATTCTAAACCTGTTAGAGTCTAGATTTAGTTAGGTACATGAATAGCTGTAAAGCCAGTAGAGGCCTGAGTAGCCCAGAATAGGGCTTAATGGCCTCCCCCTGACCCCACATGGCCAGCTTCATTCTAGAAAGTGAACTGACACTGCCTTTGCTCTTTCCACAGTTCCTACAGAGACCACCTATCACACCCTGGAGGAGGGAGTGGTGGAGTACTGCACAGCTGAGGCCCCCCCGCCCCTGCCAGCGGAGGCCCCTGTGGAGATGATCGCCCAGCACGCGGACCCCTCAGTCAAGCCCCAGGCACTCAAGAGCCGCATCGCCCTCAACTCAGCCAAGCTGATCCAGGAGCAGCGGGTCACCAATCTGCACGTGAAGGAGATTGCCCAGCACCTGGAGCAGCAGAACGACCTGCTGCAGATGATCCGCCGCTCGCAGGAGGTGCAGGCCTGTGCCCAGGAGCGCCAGGCTCAGGCCATGGAGGGCACCCAGGCGGCCCTGAGTGTCCTCATTCAGATCCTCCGGCCCATGATTAAAGATTTCCGCCGCTACTTGCAGAGCCACACACTCAACCCTGCCCCCGCCTCCGACCCTGGACAGATGGCCCAGAATGGACAGCCAGACAGCATCATCCAGTGAGGGCAAGGGTTCAGCCAGCCTTTAGCTGTGATTGGATGACACCGCCGTGGTCCGGCAAGTGGGTCCTGTGACTGATCTTTGGCTAGGGCAGGCCACATGGACAGCTCCCTCTTTAATAGAATTTAGGGGGTCCACTATTTCTGAGAAAGGAGACTGGGAAGAGGAACTTATTGGGGTCCTGGAACCCAAACTCTCTTACCCCCACCACCCGAGCTGCCTTGTTAAGAACCTGAAGACCAGTTAGCTGGGGGTCAGGCGCTGGTGTTGGGACATGTGTTGTCACGAGCCAGGGCTTGAGACAGGACCAGACTCGGTCAGGGACCCTTGTAAGGAAGGCTCTCACTGGGGAATCAGCACACAGAGGCGTCTCTGTGCTGAAACGCCATCTTTTGAGTGAGATACTGTCAGTGGTGCCTCCTCTGGGAGGCAGAGTGGCAGAGAAACCCCACCCTTTCTCCTCGCTGCACCTCATTTCTCAGGGGACTCTGTTTAATGCCGTGACCCCCATCCCCTGCACAGCAGGGCCTTTGGTAGTGCCCTGCGCTGCCTCTGCAATACACCTAGGATATGGCCCACCGGGCTCGGGAGTGCTGTGCGTGGTGGGGGTGGCTTGGCCGCCTTCTGGTCTTCCACTGCTTCCTGGGGCGGCCCTTTAGTGGTTTATCCCAACAGCTCTTGACTCAGGTCAAGCATCAGGCTTTGGGTGCTGTAAATTTTAGAAAAAGCAAACCAGTGTAGACACTTGTTGCCCCACTGCAGTGAGTCTGTGATGACCCGTTGGCTCCTTCCAGAAGGTCTGTCTCAAGCCAGTTGTATTTATTCTGTTCATGAACTCCTCCTGGGAAGGCCTCCAGGACCTCCCGGGGCCGCTCCGGCTACTCGCTTCCTCCTTTCCTCTCTACTGACTGTGCATTTCCAAAACTCTGCAAGAAAAAGCCTGCTCAGCATCACACCCTGGACTCCCTTCACATATTATTCGGAGCCTTGAGTTCTTTCGAGAACCCCACTGGCTGGCTGGGTGAATCCGCAGGCCTGATTGGCCCTGAATGTGCGAGGTAGGAGCATCGCTGACCTACAAAGTGGGACTTTGACCTCTGTGCCGCGGAAGAGCAGACAGACCTTGGAGTCCTGAAGGTGGTGGTGGTCCCTGTTCCGCTGTGATGCTTTCCCCCTTTTATAGGGAGTTTACCCAGATGGCATTTGTCTGTTTCATTTTCAGAATGAAATCTATTGAATTGATTACTGAGACTCTTGCAATTTTTCCAGATTATTTCCCAAGTTTGCCACCTTGCTGCTGGTGCCTTGACCACACATGACTGATGGTTACAACTCAAGGCTCCAGATCTCAGCTAAACAGCGAAGGTGCTGCCCTTCTGGGCACGGGCATTCAGAATTGCTCGGCTCCACGGTTGCAGTCATGAAAGGGTGCCCCCCCCAGACGGTTGGGAGGTGACTCCTGTGCCACCAGTCTCTCTGCAGAGGCCATGTGCAGGGCCAGCTACAGAGCAATGGAGAGGAATCAGGCCTGTGAGGGGGTTGGGTGGCAGAAGAAAAGCTCTTCTCAGTGTGGCTGGCAACCTGGGCACCCTTCCTCCCAGGAGCCTGATGGCCCCAGCAGGGTAGCTGCAAGGACTTCCTGAGGATTTTCAGTCTGGTTTGTTTTTTCTCTGGGATTGGCAACCTGAACCAATATTGTGTCTGTTCCAATTGGGTATAAAGAGGAAGGAAGCCCAGATCACTTAAACTGACTGGTTCTTTCCAGGTCATAATTTTAAATTAAAGAAATCTCATTTTTTTTTATATACCCATGTCTGTGTCTTTATTGGTTATATATAGAAGAGATATGGGCTGGCACACTGTGGCCCACAGGTCAAATCTGGCCCCTACCTGTCTTTGTAAATAAAGTTTTATTGGAACATAGTCACACCCCTTCACGTAATGTCTGGCTGTTTTCTGTGCTACTGTAGCAGAGTCAAGCAGTTGTGACAGAGACTTTTGGCCTACAAAGCCAAAGTATTTACCCTCTGGCCCTATTCCTGGCATAGGTCAGTGTTTCAGACTCTGAATGAGAACTGCCTGGGGTGTTTGTCTAACATACCCAACCGTTGGCCTCATCCCAAACCCAGAAGAGACTCCTGGAGAGAGAGCTCTAAGAATATTCATGGTAAATAAGCTCTCTGAGTGATTCTGATATTTCCTGAAGGTTAAGAAATTTGGCTCAGAGACTGGAAGAGTTAAACTCAGCTGGAATGGGAATCATGCCCCAGGAAGGGCTGGTTCTTGAGTTTCTCCAAGCAGAGATTCTCATTTAAGATTGGTCTTTATTCTGGAGAGATCCCAGACTTCTTGAACATAGCACTCTCTCTGGTATTTAGTAATAATAAAAACTGAAAATTATCCAGCCCTACTCTGTCCAGGCCTTATAAGCATTACCACATTGACTCCCTGCAACAGCCCCATGAATTAGGTACTTATATTGTTCTCAGTTTGCAGATGTGAACACTAAGGATCAGAGAGGTTAAACAATTTGCCTAAGGTCGCACAGCTACCTTATTCCCTGGGGTGGCCCATGCTCTTAACCACTCTAACCTTGCAGCCTGTAGCAGTGGAATCCGCTAGGAGTCGTTTGAGCCTGCCATCCAGGAGTTTCTGGGTCAAAGGAGGAAGCCTAGGAGATGGTTTGTGTTGCTACTCATCTTGGCATTTGAAAGGGAGCACTGACCTCTCCTACTCGCCACAGGCTTTGGACTTACTCATATTAAGAGAGAAAAGGGTAAATTAACAGAATTAAACCTACCACACCTTGATGGTGCTGGTGGAGAACTGTCATTTATATTGCTGAAATGTGGAGTTTTACATTGTTAAAAAGAAAATTACAGATGGCATCACTATGCTAAAAGCCCACGATACCAAATGTAGATTTAGTATCTGATCTAATTGCAGTGTCAACCTCTCCCAGAAATGTAATCTTAATCAATCAGTATAGAATTTTCTGATCGAGCACCAGTAAGATAATCTGTCACTTGGGCTCTCTCCGTTCCTCTCACCCCCCATAAAAAGAAGAGGCAATCTGCCTGATAAAATCCCTTGCCATTCCCTTCCCCCTCAAAGGTGTCCTGGTCTAAAAATAATCCTTTCTTTTATTGTGTTAATAGCTCCCTGGCCTCACCTATAAAAACCTGTTATTTTGTACAACCCCTTGGAACACCCTTCTCGTTGCTAGGTGGGATGCTGCCCGACTCATGAATCACTTACTGAAACCAACTAGACCTTCAAATTTATTTACTCAGTTGAATTGTGTTTTTTAATAACATAAAAGAAAATCCTCTAAGCCACGGAAGCTTGCTACTTCAAGCATTGAAACTTTTTTTATTTTAAACTATTTTGACGGAAGTCTTTCAAAAAGGTGAGCTCTGTGAACTGTATGTTACCCGGCTGATCCTTACTCAATAGAGTCTGCACAGCAGGCCGAGGGGCGGCACTGCTCATGGGATGCCAGTGGGCTCCGGCAGGCTTGGGCTTGAGAGAGGCTCCACCACTCATTATTCACTGGCTCAACATGTCGGGGCCCCAGTTTTCCCAGTTCCAAAGTGAGGGTGATGAAGAGTGGCACCTGCTTGACGGTACAATAGCACTATGAGGACTGGATAGAAATAGGTACCATTTATTGAGCACTTGCTATGTCCACATGCTGTTCTAAGCACTGTATGTATGAGCTCATTTCATGAGATCATGCTGATAAAACACTTGGCCTGTGCCTAGAACATAGCAGGTGTTCAATAAATACTGGTCGCTATCATCACTGTTACAGTGTCTGATCTGCCGAATAGGGAATCTTCGCTGGTGATCACAATGGGAGCTTTGTCACAAGTGGTTTGAGTCCGATTATAAAAGATATGACCCAGGAAGTAGAGGGTGCGGGGCACAGGGAGCAGAGATTAGCTGGGATTCAAGGCAGCCTGGGCATGGGAGCCAAGGCCAGTACAGAGAAGAGCTGGACACTGGGGGGCTCTTGCTACAAGTGCTCTGACAGAAGGAGGTTGAGCAAGTTGTCAGGAGCTGCCCTGCCCCATGTCAGACAGTCCATTAAGACGACAAGCCAGAATGAGAGGGACAGGCAAGCCTGTGATCACTTGCGGCGATGATATAAGCAAGAGGAGAAAGTGCCAGCTCGCCCAGTGTGCCATTTCTCCACGGGACAGCGCTGGGAAAAAGGGTCAGATGTGGTGCAGATGGGGAGTCATCTGACTGCTGAGGGTGCCCCCAACAAAACGCTCCTGCTGTTTTCCGGCTTGG